AAGGTCCCATTTGTTGGGGAAATGGCTTTATTAATGTATTTTAAAATAATTCTGATAACTGTTATGATATTTGACTCACATTAGTAATGACTTATTTCATGACTTTGCTTATTACCCTGTCATCTCTACAGAGATACATTACTGGAGCCTGACACATTTCAGTTTGAAATGTATGTCCAGTAGAGGTCCGCCCTGACGTTGAATCCTAGTAGGCCCCAGCCTAGCTGGTGACTGGCTGACCACCTGGGCCCACAATGTCCAGTTGTCTGGTCTTTTTGGAGTCCTGATTTTACCTTGCATTTTCTGGCTTAAAGCTTCTCCCCTCTGAAATCATGAACTTAGATCTATGATCGAAAGTCCTGAAGGGGATCATCAAGGACTCATTTGTTAATCTATTTGGAAGCTATTGCTATATATATATATATAATGAATAGCTTTCCTTCTAAGAAACCTACAAGACAGAAGTGCCCAGAGCTTCTCTCCTATGATGCTCGGAACACAGAACTATGGAACTGGAAGGATTCTTAGAGACCTCGTACAACTCTCTGCTTTTACAGTTGAGGAGACTGAGGCCCAGAGAGGTCAAGTATAAGGAAATCACCAGGTAGCGGGCCAGCTAAGACTAAACTTTCTGACTCATGGCTCGTTCCATCTTCTACACTTTGCACTGCGTATGAAAGCTGAAAGGAAAACCAAACCCAACAATCTGTTTGTAAAATCAAGTTGTAACTGTTTCTGAAACACAGAGCAGCGGCAGCCCCATCCCCTCACTGAGGGAATATGACCCTGTTGGCAGGGAAGCGGCTGCTCTGAGAGATGGAAGGAACCCAAATCACTCCCCAGGGGCCGGCCCACAGGCTCTTCCTTCACAAGTGGCCGGGTCTGGAAGAGCACTTCTCTCCCTCCACAACATAACCTAATTGCTGCCTCCCCACTAGCCTCCAGGTCTCACTCTGTGCCAAGCTCTGGCTCCCACCCAGCCCCTCCTTGAGGTGGAGCCAAACCCCAGACTCCCTTGTCCTAGGAAGTAGTCCAGAAAGGTTTAGCAGTCAGCAAGGAGGAGCTTTATACCAAAGCCTGGGGGGCCCCGCTGCCCGAGCTCTGGCTGTCTGGGTGGGCAGCCAGGACCCCTCCTCTGTAGAGACCTGCCCCAGCTCAGCAATGGAAGGACAAGGAAAGGAAAGGACAGGTTGGTGGCTGCACTGAGGTGCTGCTGGGGGTGCGGTATGAGAGAGTGCTTGCTCTGGCTGACTCCTCCTCCTTCTGGGACTGGGAGGGATTCAATGCCTCCAGTATCTGAGTGCTACGTGTCTTACTATTTTTTTTTTTTTTTAAGATTTTATTTTTTTTCCTTTTTCTCCCCAAAGTCCCAGGGTACATAGTTGTATATTCTTAGTTGTGGGTCCTTCTAGTTGTGGCATGTGGGATGCTGCCTCAGCGTGGCTTGATGAGTGGTGCCATGTCTGCGCCCAGGATGCGAACCGACGGAACGCTGGAGAACTTAACTACTCGGCCATGGGGCCAGCCCCTACATGCCTTATTCTTGAATTCAGCTAAGGAATTAGCTCCTGGGATCCTGCAACCACACATACCCTTGACACCTGGGACTCTGCACTCTAGCAGGTGAAGCTGGAACTGGGTGGGACAGACTGTGAGTGGGTGCAGGTGACTTCTCTTCTTCACAATGAAGCTTTGCAAGTTTTCTCCTCTATTCCCTTCCTTGGGAGGAAGAATGCCTGGTGTGTCCAGTGATGGCCTCTCTTGTTCCTTTGAGATTTATGATTAGCATTGCCAGGATGGACTGGCCGATTCTTTGATACATACGTGGTGCCTTTTCCTGGCCAGTTTTCAAAGGGCGGGCAGGACACGCGGGAGCCTGCCTCTTTCTGCAGCAGGCCTATGCCCTGGACACTGGTTCACCCCTCAACCTTTGAGCTCTCACAAATGAGTCACCATCAAGGGCAGAGTGACACTCATTCATTCTCTGCAAGCCTACAATTTCATATGTTATAGTAGTGTTTCTTAGGATTGAGAACTTATGGACCCCCAACCTATGCCTGCAGAGCCCTAGGGGATGCCAGACCTCGTTGGAGAAATACATTCAGTTAAATTCTTTTCTTTCACTTGAGTTGATCAATCAGCATGAACGACACTGTAAACACAAAGAGAAACTCAGACCCTGAAGCCAGATGGCATCACCTGGCTATAAAGGAGTTATCCCCACATGATTCAGAAGGTACTTGTGTTTTTTTTGATTTTTTTAAAAAAAGTTGTCAGAATGAAACAAAAATCTAAAACTCCTTTTAGAGCTCATGGTCTCTTCCCTTCCTTCCACCCCTTTCCCCCAGAACTCTCAGGGATTCCTAGATGCCATTTTGAGGAACAGGGTTGTAGAAAACTCTTTCCTCCTAACAAGCAATACCTCCCTCTAAGGAAAGAGCAGGAGGTGGGCCTGGTCTGTAGTCCCATAGCAGGGTCAGACTAAACAAAGAAACCCACTGAGCACAAAATTCTGAGTTGGGAGGGTATTGGTGACCCTTTCCTTCAAGGCCATCTGATTCATGACTATTCTCGACATCCCAGTCCATTACTGGACAGCTCCTGCTAATGCAAAGCTGGCTGCCAAAGTTGGCTGATGTAGAATTTTCACTGATTGGTTTTGCTCCTGACATCTGGGGCCATGTTGAATTAAAAGAAATAAAAGCCCCAAAGATACTGGGGCAGAGGGCATGTAGGCCTGATTTGAGCTCCTTTCTTTTTTAACATAAATGGATGCAAGAAGTTCACTGGAGCAGCTAGTGAATGTACTGATTTGCTTCTGAAAAATGTACAGATGGGGGAGATGGGAGTTTGAAGGAGAAGCACAGATGGAGAAGTCTTTTCATTTTGATTTGTCACTGGAGTTGCTGAGGGTGTCAAGACTCACAGATGCAAACACAGGGAGGCAGAGTGATGCAGACACATGGCCGGCGCAGCCGGCAGGGAATGTGTTTCTGCAGGGTTCAGATACACAAAGAAGGACACATAACCAGGGGCAGGGTGGGAACTTCAGCACAAGTCCCTGGTGTCCCCCTGTGGGGACAGAGCTGAGTGCTCAGGGATGGCTGGAGACCCAGTGATGTTTCCAGGTGACTGACACAAGCTGCTCTTGCCACCCCCACCCTTACAGAACGAGTCCTGTCTCTGCCCTTGTTTGCTGAGCCAGGCATTGCTCTCTGAAACTTGTGTGGGGCTGGATCAACTGAGTGATTTTGCACTCTTGCTTCTTTTGAAATCAGTTTTCTTTCGGGTGCCACCTAAATGTAGATATTCCAACTTCGCTTTTGTGGGTTCTCATTATTGAAAATTTTGTACAGCGATCTGAGCGCAAATGCACATCTACAGAGTCCTGTTTTTGAAAGCATCTGCTGGCCTCTGTCATTTTTGTTTTTCAGCCAAAACAGCCTTTCAGGGCCACTAAGTGCGGTGGTTGAAGTTCTCAGGATAAACCCATAATGAGATTCTTTCTTTGGTCACTAGATTGTTATGGAAAGTATTTGAAATTTGTAAGCTTTTCAGCTGGTTGGTGAAACTCGATAATCACTTGAATTTACATGCCAATGGTGTGTTTGAAACGTACGCATAGGGTTGGCTTTGGCTATTTTTAGAGGTGTGGTGGGTTACATGTGCCTGGGTAGCCCAGCTCCCCCAGGCTACTGTTGCTAAGCTTGAGATACACCCAGCTGGCCTTGCAGTAGAGAGCCCCTTGGCTGCCTGAGTGGGGAAGCCAAGGCAGCAGAATATGTTTTGGTCTACATCCTGCTGTTGCACTTTTTGAGACCTGCTGGTGGAAGTGCTGATCCTTCTCTGACCAGAACAAGAGGGCCGGTTCCTTTAGAGATTCATGGGCTATCAGAATGTGCTCAGCCCTTCTCTGCTGCCACTGCTGTGTGCTGTGGCCTGCGGAGCGGGGAGCACCCGCAATCCTCTTTGGCTGGGGATGCCCCTTCTTCCCTGCTGTGTCTCAGATGGACAGAAGACAGTTCCACCCATTCCTTTTGGGTCAGTTTTCTGGATAGGTCTACCAACTGAGTGATAAAAGAACCCACTTCTAGAATCATCCTTCAAACTAGAAAGCAGTTCTTAATCAGATGAGTACACCAACACAGGCCTTGAGGATCCTGTATGTGAAAAGTTGGCCAGTACTGGGCTGCTAGCTGCTTAGTGGGCAGGTGGGAAGGAAGGAGCCTACCACCTGCAGCTTCCACCAGCACTGACCAAATGATCAAGGACCTCCCCAGCCCAGACGTGCACAGGGCTTCATTGTTCAGTCCTCAGGTCTGCAAGGAGGGGCTAGGTCATGTTTGTCAAATATGGAGAACAGGGGCTGATTTAACTCTTCTTTATTCCATACTGGACATCCTTCCTATGAACTAATTTTGAGTGCTGGTGGTTGAAGAACTTACTGGATGATTTGCACTCATGTTAACATGGGAGCCAGTTGAGGCTGAACAGCCACTGGTAGGTTCAGTGGACATGGGTTTCACGCCTTTCCACAAACCATTTCTCTGTACTGTTGCTAGGGAGAGACCATGGAGTGCGATGAACAAAGGGGCTAAGCTGATGTATTTGTACATAATCATCAGATACAAGAGAAGCATAGCAGGGCAAGAGGTGATGCAGGAAGAGCAAATCTCTTAATGTGGCGTCCTCCAGACAACATTATAAGGCAATAAATACATTGTACTGATGTTTGTTAAGACTCCGATGAACAGATGTCAGGAGCCACAGTGTGAAAGTGAGGCTGTGAGACAGAGAAGGTGGTCACCATGTCCCTGAGCTAGCTCCCCACTGACCAGGGGTACAGCCCTGCCCCATGGCGCTCCCCCTGGAGCCACTTCCCCTTAGGATCTGAGCACACAGCTTTTACTTTTCATTTTCTTCTTCCTTTCAACTCTTTATTCTTAACCCTGGATCTAACTCCAAGGAACTTTATTTTTGAATCACAACTCCAAAACCTCTTGTTTGAAGGGTAGTTTCAATTTATTAATGAACCAGAGAAAACAGCACAAAATGACTGTGGAAGGCCAAGAAAGACAGTTAGGGCTTCGTTCTGCCTGACTCTCCTGTGCATGCTGGGATAAATCCTCCCCATGCCTCACGGATAATGCCCCTTCCATGGGGGAAGGCCCGTCCCGCAGGGGGAGCACAATTCTCTGCTTCTACATTATGGGTGGGAAACTCTCCACCCTCCCAGAAGGTTCCCTCTGTAGGATCATAAACTTAAAAAACACAACTCTTGAAAAACATTTTTCCAATTTGTAGCTATACTTTTTCACACCTTTTGATTCATTTTTGTTTTGTTTGAAACAGCACATCTACAGACAGATTGCAAACCCAGCCCATCAGAGACTATTATTCTTTTCTTCTCTGCTGCTTGATCATCTGGATTCAGGTTGAACAGATCCACACTCCGAAGAGAAAATACTAAGACCTTATATTAGCATTTTCGAAAGCATGAATATACATCATCTCATCGATCCTCACAGCAGCCCTGGGAGGCAGGCAGGCAGGAATGATGGTTCCAGGATCTAGAGGACAGAGTGGTGGAGCTGGGAACCAAATCCATGTCCTCCAACTCCTGGTCCAGGGCTCCTCCCACTCCACAAGATGGACTGAGCTCACTTGATGAGCAGAGCAGCCTTTCTGCTTAGAGTAGATGAAATGTCTTTTGGGCTTGCAAACAAAGGTGATTTTAAGTACAGACCTCATCAGTGAGCTCAGGGGATAAACACAATTGAACTCAATTCGGCATCAACACCAGAGGAATGAACAGGACAGAACATGGGCATCTTTGACAAGGGTTCCTTCTTGTTTTCTTGACTCTCACTGAGACCACGTTGGATGCTGTAACTTGAATGCAGCAAAGTCCAAGAGGAGGGAAGACATTCAAAGGACTTTCTCATCTAGCAATTTATTGATTCCTTCACAGATCCTCTTGAGGTTGGCCCTACAGTCTCCATCCAGACTATAAAGGGTGGAGAGGAACTCCACATCAGCAAAGTGGTTGAAGACATGGTTGATGCGCCCGTGGGTCCTGGGCGTCAGGTGTCGCTGCACCAGTTCATGCACCAGGTCCTTGCACTCATGTAGGAGCTTGGAGAGCACGTTCTTATCGAAGGTGTATTCCACCTCATAGAAGCTGACAATGGTCATGGCGGTCTGGTTCAGCTTCTTCCTGAACTTCTCCACGATAACAACCTCCTCCTGGCTGAACTGGTTGTTCCGGTAGAGGATCCCAATTTTGATTGCCACCTTGATTAAGTCTTTCATGATCTTGTGGGCTTCCTTCTTGTTGTGGGTGTGCTCTTTGGTGACTTTGTAGAGCTCATCAAAGATCTCACTGCTGGTGTCATCAATCAACATGTTGGCCATGGTTTTGCTGGCTATTTTGCTCAGAATCTTCTTCTGGGCTTGAAGGGCAAGGCTCTTTGAACTAAAAACATCAGGACCTATGGTAAGGAAAGAAAGAAAAGTTATAGGAATACGAGACCCATTTATTATGTTTCTACAAGTGAAACATACTAATTTGAACTTATGTTCTTAGTGCAAAACTCATGCCTTTATAGCCCCCAAACTCGCTAACTAAACCCTGCCCCAGCCCAGGGTTGCTCCACTGTCCTCTCCACATGACATGCCCTTTATCCTCTTAAACTTTCTAAATTGCACTCTTCCCTCCTCTTGTCAAGGCAAGTCATCTCCTCTTGTCCAGACCAACTCTCACCTTTTTAGACCTACTTCATGCATAAAGCCTGCCTCACTCTGTTAGCTCACAGAGAACTCCTCACAACAGCTGTTCCAGCGGAAATCACTCAGTTTCGCAAATTATACCTGAGCAAATGACTACTTAATGACACGAATGTAGCACCAGTGCTAACCCCATTCCCAGGACAGACATAGGTGGTTGATCATGGTCATCTTTTTGACGGAGTCTCAGAAGCCATATTTCATTGAGCGTAAGATACATTTTTTTCACATTCGATATCTTGGAAATTGGTTTTGTGTCTTAATAGTCACTGTTGCCAGGTGGCACTTGTGCTAGGGTTGTCAGACCTGCATGTGCATCAATTTACACAACAGGAGCCAGAGATTTGGGAGAAAAGTCAAGAGCACTCTTGTAAGAAATGCTGCCTCACTGACGCTCTTGACTGGCATAGAGAAGGACGCTGCGTGGGAAACACAGATATCAGACACTCCAAGTCAAAGATGCTTCACGTGAGTAGCACCCTGAAGAGGAAGAAACTTAGAAAAACCAAAGTCAACTTATTCCCTGTTATTTTCCACTTTATGAATGAACAAGAGCAAAATATGTTAAAAAAAATAACACTATGTCTAAGTCCAAAAAGGATCTTTCAATAAGTATACAGTAGTCTCCCCTTATCTGCAGTTTTGCTTTCCATGGTTTCAGTTACCCCTGGTCAATCATAGTCTGAAAATAACACTACATCACAATGCGTATGTCAGCCACCTCACTTGACCATCACGTAGGCGTTGTATCATCTCATATCATCACAAGAAGAAGAAGGCTGAGTACAGTACAATAAGATATTTGACAGAGAAAGACCACATTCATACAACTTTTATTACAGTATATTGTTATAATTGTTCTATTTTATTATTAATTATTACTGTTAATCTCTTACTGTGCCTAATTTATAAATTAAACTTTATCATAGTTATGGTTGTATAGGAAAAAACAGGATATATAGGGTTCAATACTATCGGTGGTTTCAGGCATCCACTAGGGGTTTTGGAATGTGTACCCTGTGGATGAGGAGGGGACTAATGTAAAAAAAAAAATTATAAGTAATAAGAAAGCAATAATTCACAACTTAATGGACAGGATTTTTTTTCTTAAGAGCAGATAAAACAACATCTTACAACTGATGGCGTCTTAGATTTGATGAAATACTCCAAGTCACCAATTAGCTGGAGCTGATATCTGAAATGAAACCACCGGCCATCCTTGCTCTACAGTATGTATGCATATGATCCGTGTCTTCCCAAGGAGATTCAAGTTGCCTGAGAACAGAGACACTGCCTCCGGCAGCACCTAGCTCAGTCCTGGGCACAGGGATGGAATGGTGTCTGCTAAGTAAAATACCAGAGAAATACTGCAGAATCAGAAAGTAGTAAAATACAGTACAAACTTATACTAAAAAAATAATTTTTCTTTGAGAATTGAAGGCCATCGAGGATCCCTAGAGCTTTTGTCCAGTGCTTGCTGGCCACATGGAAGTGACAGATGTGATAGGCAGAATGGACAGACAGACGGCCATCCATGCCAGCTTCTGCTATCTTTGGCCCCTCCCCATCTCATATCCCACCCCCTCTGCCCACCCTGGACTCATTCCCTCAGTGGACAGTGATTAATCCCTGGATGCTCGGGTCTCACAGACTGATTCAGTAAGCACTCAAATGCAATGTAGACACAGGCCCAGGGGCTTCCTCCACCCGCGTGCCCCTCCCGACTGGCCCAGCCTCGCTCCCTCTGCCCTGGGTCCTTCCAGGCAGCTACTTCTGCTCTCGGGCCTCTTCCAGCTGCAGGACCAAGGGTCATGGCCTGGAAGGGGGTTCCTGCACCAGGATCAGCAGAACTAAAGTAATTGGCACCCTGGGCCTCCCATAGCCCCAGGAAGCTCACTCCCTAGAGTTTGAGACCACAGACTCTCCAGCAACTTCACAGCCAAGTGACCCTGACATGGGTGGGACTGTCCCTTCAGCCTCAGTGCAAAGGGGATAAACAGGTATCTCTTGTCTCTTCTTTAACATGATGGAGACTGACTGCCTGATTTATGCCCCCGCAGAGTTTGTGACAAATAATATCCCTGCCCAGTCTGACCATCTACTGTGACCACCAGACCTTTGTGTGAATAACCTTTGTTCCCAAAACATCAAACTCGTCCTCCAAAGACAAATATTTGCAAGCATTAAGGATGTTCAAAAGATTGCACTGTATGCTTTGAAGTCCATTCCACAGGAGAAGCTTAAAGACTTTTGAGTAGTGGCCCTGTTTCCAAAACAAGTGGATGCTTCCTTAGGTGATTATTCTGATGGGAACAATGGAATCTAGATGGATCCCTTCTGGAATATCAAAAAATGAGTCATTTCTTTGTAGACACAGCTCCTGAAAACTGCCTGAGAATAAGGTATTTTAAGATGCTCTCCAGAAATGCAGCAAACATGCATTTATACAGAAGCAAAGGATCAAAGAAACATGCGTCTGCTAGAACATGAGGTCTGTGGGAGCAGGGCCTGTGTCTAAGTGCGACCAGACGTCCAGTGCCTGGCGCATGGCGGCACCCGGCAGGTGGCGGTGGGATGAAGGGAGTGCTGGCTCCATGCCAGGCACTGCTTGGTTTTAGCCCTAACTGCTGGGTGAAGCTGCCATTTTAACTGGGACTTCCCTGCTGGCCTGACTCCAAACACTGTTCTTTTCACCACCAGCATTTCCAACATTTTTCTCTAGAGCAGTGACTGTCATACTTTTTGCTCATAAATTCCCATAAGAATTTTGAAAAACTATGTACCACCTCGCATATTTTTAAACTTGACAGCAAGTATTTTTCACATTGAGGTTAAATAGTTAGAATTTGTAATAATTTCTAGATATTGTAAATATTGATATTTTTAAATTAACTCGTGAAATCATTCTTTCAAATATGTCCAATATAACCTAAATACTATAGTGATTTCATATCCATTATTGTCCTTTTTTTGTTTCCTGAGGAAGATTAGCTCTGAGCTAATATCTATTGCCAATCTTCTTTTTTTTTTTTTTTTTTTTCTTTGTATGTGAGCCACTGCCACAGCATGGCCACTGACAGATGAGTGGTATAGGTCTATGCCTGGGAATTGAACCTGGGCCGCTGAAGTGGAGGGTGCCGAACTTAACCACTAGGCCACTGGGGTTGGCCCCATTATTGTCCATTTTTAAATGCAGGAGCAAGCTCCTCTTTAAAAATTAGAAATGTTAATTATTCTTTTTTTCTCCTTGAAATTGTATCTCTATTCTATGACGCTCAGAGAATTTTAACTAAATATATATTTTTATGCTTGCAAATGTTTTATTTGATCAATTCATCATAATTCTCTACAGCCAAAGGATGCATACGAATTGAAATTTAAATTAAAAGAAGACTCCAGTGACTATAAATCTCCAAGCCTTAAAAAATTTCTTCTGGAGTTGGTTATCATTTTAATTATTTGGGGTACAATATAAAGTATTAAAATTTTGATAAATACTTATTAAACATAAAAAGTAAAGTTTTTCTGGAAATGCACGTCTAAATGAGATGGGTAGGGGTGGGTTATGGCGCCTTGATTAAAAGAAGCATCTCTGACACCACAGCTTCATATTATCCCTTTGTTTGACCTTGGAGGTTTTGCGCCCCAGGGTAACATACTTGTTCCAACATGATTCTTCATGGGTGAGAATTCCATGAGGGAAACAGTGGAAAGAAGGGAGAGCCACCCTGCTTTGGCCTCAGCTTGTTTCTCAGGTAGGTAAGTTTAGAAAAGGGTATGTATTGAAGTGAGAAAGAAGTGCTGGATCTGTAAATCGGTTCCCTCAAAATGCTCCTCGTCTGCACATCACTAGGAATGTGATGCACAGCCCGGTGGTGCGCACCCCAGTTTGACTCCTCCTCGTTGGTAAGAGCGGCAGCATTCCCTGAGGTGTTAAGACGTGTTCTTTGAGGGGGAATAAAGAGTTTCTTGATCAAAGAAGTTTGGAAAATACTGGGTGAAGTAATGTTACACAGATTCTTTTCCTGTGAGACTTTAAAAATATTTCCTTAACACATTAAGGTGTTTTATCAACTCTCAGGGAGGGGTCAGTATGGTAGGCAGAAGGATGGCCCTCCTAAGATGTCCACATCCTAGTCCCAGGAACCTCTGAATGTGTTACCTTACCTGGCAAAAGGGACTTTGCAGATGTGATTAAGTTAAGGATTTAGGGATGGAGAAACTGTCCTGGATTATCCAGTGAACCCGATGTACTCACAAGGGCCTAAGAGAGTGAGAATCAGAGAAGGGGCTGTGATGGTGGAAGCAGAGGCTCAGAGTGATGTGATCACCGGCTTTGAAGATGGAGGAGGCAGCCAACAGCCAAGGAATATGGGAAGCTTCTAGAAGCTGGAAAAGGCAAGGGAACAGAGCCTCCAGGGAAAATGCAGCCCTCCTGACATGTTGATTTTTAGCCCGGTAAAACCCATGTAGGATTTCTGACCTCTAGAGTTGTAAGATGACAAACGTGTGTTGTTTTAGGCCACTAAGTTTGAGGTAATCTGTTACAGCAGCAGCAGGAAACTAACTCCGGTGGGTAGAATGTGATGTAGCATTCCCCAGTTTCCTTTGGTCAGGGCACCCTTTTTGTCTTCTGTGTAGAGTGACCAACTATCCTGGTTGGCCAGGATTAAGGGGTT